TCCCCCTGTATAATTCATACATATCAGCTCTAATGACATTTTCTGGCCCGAGAAGATTAAAAATGAAGACCTGCTGAGCAGATGCAAACAGGGGGACATGGGTACCATCATTACCAAACGCCGATGGAGATGGATTGGACATGTTCTCCGATGGGGATGGATTGGACATGTTCTCCGAAAAGACCCCCAGTCAACAACAAGAACAGCACTCCATTGGACCCCAGAGGGCAAAAGAAAGAGGGGAAGGCCTAGAACGTCATGGCGAAGGACAGTTGAAAGCGAGATGAAAGCTATGCACCAGACCTGGGGATTATTGACGAGGCTGGCCAAGGAAAGACAAGAGTGGAGGAAGTTTGTTGCTACCCTACACACCACAGGGTGTAAAGGACAGTGATGATGATAATTCATACATGTCAGCTCTAATGACAGTTAAAGTTGAACTCCTGCAGTATTTGTGTGATATTCCTGCCTATTGCAAAGTGAAGCATTCGACCGGTCATGCGAGTTTGATATCTTGCCCGTATTGCAGAGAAAAATGACATTACTGTAAGAACAGGAAGAACAGCAAACCCCTCAAAATAGAAAAAGAGTTATTGGAGTCTAAAAACATCATACAGCACTATTGCTAAAATAGTAACAAATGGTCTGATACAGAAGTGCAGAAAGAGATTACACGGACATGTCTGTATAAAATGCAATAATAATGGAATAAAAAGTTGAATACATAAAGAATAAAGGAAGTAAACAGTATCATAGATTACTTCCTCTGCTAACAATTATTGTTTAAACTCAAGTAACCGATTTGTATGGGTAAATTTAATTTTATAACATTTATTTTTATAAATTTCATATCAAGTTACATCTAAGAGATGTTAATTTTTTTAATTGATGCTCGTTAATTTCCAACATGGTTTTCTCTTCACCTCGAACGTACTTTACGTCCTGAAAATTTTCCTGATGTTATAATCCTGGACCCGTACGCACTGTTTCCCTCTAATTTTCGTGTGTCCGACAAAATAGCTTTTGTTGGATCTACATCACCTTGACACAGAGCATCACTGACGTCGCGCACGAAACGTTGTAAACATTTTTGTTGATCAGATTCCACGGTCTGATATGTTTTGTTAACTTCCAAACTGTGGTTTATGTACCATCGAAGCAACGACGTTGCATTCAATAATTGACGAGCCCGCATCCCCCCCCCCCCCCCCAATAAGCGACGCAGCTTATCAGACAAGTTAAAGCGCTTTGCATGATTTCGCATGTGATGACCTATCACGTCAAAGTGAATGTCGGTCGTACAAAAGAGGGGGCTCATTTAGGAAAAGTACTCATAAGGGGTCATAGTGGGGTGGCTGAAATGATCAGGTCATGTATCCGGTAAGCGAATGTCGCATCTACAACATCTGCAGTTAAGGATGTACTTATGCAGACACTCACCATTCAGGAGTTGACAAACTTTTCTGCGATGAACATAAAGAATGTTAAAGCTGGAGAAAATAGGGGCCTTGATGGTGCAAAGAGGTCAGAAATTGAAAGTAAGTTATTTGCCTTAGCACTCCATGTTTATATTTGTTATATCACCTGGATCACTCTGTTGAAGTGTTGCTTACTGTTCCGGTATCGTTTGCCAGCGGATTTACAATGACTTCACACTTTCAAAGGTAACGTTTACTTTTCAAATAAAGATGAACTTACAAAATATATCTGTAAACTGTCAGGGTTTAGGGGATATCAACAAACGTCGAGATGTTTTTAACTTTTTAAAAGGACTAAATTATAATATATACTGCTTACAAGACACACTTTTTACACCAAACTCTGAGAATGATGTTCAAAATTTATGGGGTTTTGATTGTTATTTTAGCTCATTCTCCTTAAATTCGAGGGGTGTAGCCATTCTCGTTAATAATAACTTTGATATACAAATTTTAAAACAAAAAGGAGATTCTGATGGAAACTATCTCTTAAAATTGATGGAAAAAAATGGCTTCTTTGTAATATTTATAGCCCCAATAATGATAATCCAGCCTTCTATGAAAACATATAAACTTGGGTAGATGATTTTAGTAGTGAAAGTGTCATTATGTGTAGTGACTTCAACTTTCTTTTGAACCCAGACATTGATCATTATAATTACAAACATATAAATAATCCAAACGCAAGGCAAAGGTTCTTGATTTTATGGAAGATGGTGGTTATATATACAGACATTTTCACCCAGACACTCAAAGATATACAGAGGAAAAAAATCCATAAAAACAAAGCAGGCTTGATTTCTTTCTGATCTCCGAAAATCTATTGCCAAGTGCAATAGGATGTACAATTGAAACAAGTTACAGGTCTGATCATTCCATGATTAGTTAATCTTCCATCTTTTAGTGATTGTAAGAAAGGTAAAGGTCTTTTGAAATATAATAATTCCCTTCTGAGTGATGAGAATTTTCTTTATACTATAAATGAAGTCACTAAGAATGTTAAAAAACAGTATGCTGTACCTGTATATTTAATGGAAAACTTGAAGCAAGTTAACGATGAAGAATTAACTTTTACAATAAATGACCAATTGTTTTTGGAAACCCTTCTCATGGAAATAGGAGGAAAATGTATTTCATACTCTTCATACAAAAAGAAACTAACAAAATTAAGAGAAGAAAAAATTGTAGAAGAAACAAGCATTCTGAGAGTATTGCATTAGCAATACTAGTCCCCTACCGGCAAGTGTAATCTGGTTCCCGTAAAAAATTTTAAATGCCATAATTCCGTCAAAAATCAATGAAGAGGGACGAAATGCAAACTTGATCTATAATTAATCAAGGTAAAGTCACATACCAAAGATCAGCTCAATATCTGAAAGCATTTAGAAGAAAATTGCGGGAAACCCCTAAAAATTGAAAAGGCCGTACTTCCGTCAAAAATCAATGAAGCGGAACGAAATGCAAACTTGATCTGTAACTCATCAAGATACACTCACTTACCAAAAATCAGCTCAATATCTGCAAGCGTTTAGGAAAAAGGTGCGGAAAACCAAGTGGGACAGACAGACAGAGGGACACACAGACGGACGGACAGACTCAGAGGAAACCTATAGTCCCCTCCGGTTTCACCGGTAGGGGACTAACAAAACACCTTGAGGAAACAATACATACTACTGCTGACAATGTTGAGACTTTAGAAGAAAAAAATAAGGAATTAGAGGATATAAGACGACAAAAGATGAGGGGTGTTTTAATAAGATCTAGGGCAAGATAGGTAGAAGATGGGGAAAAACCATCACATTATTTTTGCAACTTAGAGAATAGAAATTTTACCAGCAAGATCATTCCAAAAGTAAAAACAGAAAATGGTAACATTATTTACAAGCAGGCCGTAATACTGAATGAAGCCACAAAATATTATGAATACTTATATAGAGATATAGATAATTCTATAAATGACATTAATCTTGATGAATTAAACTTTCCAAATATTGTTAAACTTTCAAAAGTAGAGTCCTTGGAGACAGAAGGTAAAATTACATTAACTCTTTCACCCCTATATATATTTCTATGTAAAATACCACTGAACACTGAATATCTGGAAAAAGTTGTGAAATAATAACAAAAAATATTTAAATATCAATATCTTTTTCCTTTTTAGAGTAAGATATATAAAACTATATATATTTATACAGGGAAAATACTATATTTTAATGTTTTGGGGGTTTTCACTTTGAAAAGTAATTTTTTACCTGTATTTCACAGGTGAGAAACGGGTAAATTTGTAATTTTCTTTAATTTTGAATAATAATTATTATTTGATTCACTTCTTTAATAATCATGTGTAAAACAGAGTACAGAACCAATTTTAACAACAGGGGCAGAAAGTTTGTATGTAAACAGGTGTAAATTACAAGTTAGTGACCACAGGTAAACCTGGTACACCTCAATGTAGCTATACTCAAGCTACATAAGATTGTCATGAACGTTTAAATTCCATTCCTAAAAAAATCTACAAAATGACCTGATTTTGTCATTAACATACCATTTTAATTATTTTAAGAAGGCAGATGCATATATTTAAGATTAGAATGAATTTAGATGCATTACAATTTAATTGATTTACCTGTATTTCCCAGGTGAAAACCAAATACCTTTATTTGATTGAATTTTATTGTCCGTAGTTTCATGAAAGAAAATATTGGACTCAAAAATGAAATAAACAAAAGTCAATTTTAATGATCTGATTTGAAAACAAATGAAATGTCAGTCTTGTCAGAATACCTGCTTACAACTAATTACAGGTGAGTATACAGTCAAACAATTGATAATCATGGTAATGTACCTTTTGTACAATTTGATATTGTACACTAGCTGCTAAATCTTATTCAGTATAAAATAAAGCTGCAAAAGAGAAATAAACATAGATGATACAAGTTTTTATTCATAATACATCAACACAACAAGGTATTCAATTTCATTCATAACATATAACAAAATAAATAAATAAATAAAAATAAATAAATTTAGCTAAAACTGGGTAATTTTTCAATTCAATAAACTTATCAATCAATCCAAGTCCATTCAACATACATTTAATAACACACTTTTAAATGATACTCTTTGAAACACATGTTTTTAGTGTTGCAGCAAAGATATTTTTCACATTTAATTGTGGTTTTACACCTTTTGAATGGATTTTCAGCATAGGAGACACCTGGATTTCTTTCCTTGAATTTTACATGCCTTTCATTGCACACAACACGCACATGATCTTTCCCTTCTCCAACAGCAGGTAAGTAATTTAGACCATCCAGTCTAAGAAGTTGATTCGAAGTTGCAGATCGTGACCTTCCAGCCCTTTTGCGAATGCGTCGTTGGCCAATAAGTTCATGTGCAAGATCCAATTTGAACTTTAAAAGGTCACGCTTCCTTTTCCCAGGGCGATCATGTTCAATGATGCTTCCCTCAAGGACATAAGCATTGTATATGGAAAGTTCAAGGAGTTTCCTTTCAATTTTCCTATACCAACGCATAGTTTTTTTTTGATTTGTTCAACTTTGTCACTTGATCATTGCGATCCACCGCGCCCATGTATTTAGAATATGCTGCTCCTGATGGTATGTCTGGGAACTCGGTTGTACTTCCATCTTTATTGCGCCGCTTCACGGTCAAGTTTTCCTTTTCTGGTATATGACACGTAGACAAAAAGTACACCATTTTCTTATCCTTCCAACACGTAGCAATCATGTCATCACACTGTCTCCAATCGTAATAGCCTCTAGGAAGTTTTCGAGCTTCTGATTTTGATTTTACAAGTTCCTGTGGAAACCCACGACGATTCGGTCTGACAGTTCCACACAGACAGGTACCAATTGTTGTCAGGTAGTGCGCTAATGTAGGACTAGTGTAAAAATTGTCAGTAAAGACGCAGTGTCCTTTGTTTTCTAACCCTCGAAGCAAGTCAATCACAACATGGGCACTGAGACCAAATGTACGATTAATTTCAGTTCCGTACTTTCCAACATATACATCAAAATTCCAACAGTACGCACTAGTGGCATCTGCAAGCATCCAGAATTTAATTCCAAATTTACATGGTTTATCTTTCATGTACTGTTTAAAAGACAACCTTCCTTTAAAGGGTACCATAGATTCATCAACACTAATTTCTTCATGGGGAATGTATTCAGATTTGAAAGAACTGCGTATTTTATCGAGCATGTATCTTACTTTGGATAGCTTGTCGTTTCGGTGTTCCAAACCATCTACTTCATTTATAGAAAAATTCAAATACCTTCTGATTTGCATAAACCGGTCTCTGCTAATGACATCTGATATTCTAGTTCCCAACATAAAGTACTTTTCATCCTCCTTCCAATAGAGGTCATCTCTGTCCAGCTTGATAATATCCATCATGATCAACACTCCACAAAACACTTTGATTTCATCTATAGTCACATCATGCCACACACCTTTGTTGTTATTAGCATCTTCTCTTCTCTTTTTATTGGCATTTCTGTTCGTACTGTCCACAATATGATTAAAAATTTCGTCCGAATAGAAAATTTGAAAGTAATTGAGCACAGATGCTGAACTATCTAACACACGAACAGGTCCTGGCTTCTCTGAATACGGAAGTCGACATCTTACCGAAAATTCGTCAGTCCAAACAAAATTTCCCGGTGCTGTGTAGCCATTGTACAGCTCATTTTCCTCTTCATCTGAAGAATTACGATCTTCAATCATTCGTTCTATCTGATCTCTTTCACTTTCGTTTAAATTTACCAAATCAAATGCCCCCAAGTCATCGAAATATTCAGCATCAGACCACTCGTCTGAATCGCTCTCTACGTCCGACATTTTGAAATCGACTTCATAGAAAAACTATGTAAAAACGCCGCAATTTACATCATCCACAATTGTCAAATATCAATCTGGCATCCATTTTTTTTTGTTTACATAGCTACTTTCAATTTATAAGCCGCATATTCGTATTTTGCTTTCAGTTATATGAAATATTTGGCGGTCAAATTCAAAATGTCTAAATACCCGCTACAGCGGGCTGTCGGGGTGAAAGGATTTTTACTTACTGACCGCTGAAGCGGGCTATCGGGGTGAAAGGGTTAAAGGAAGCTTCAGAAACACTCCACAATATGAAATCAAACAAATCGCCAGGTTCAGTTGGGTTTACATAAGAGTTTTTTAAGGTATTTTGGAAATCTGTCGGAATTTTTGTTGTAAGGTCCATTAACTATGCTTATGAAAACAATACTTTATGTATCACGAGTCATGACATCCTACATCAAAAATTTAGGTTAAAAAGCTAAGACATCAGGGTCCAAAAGAATTCAGAAAGAAATGTTACCTCCCGTGAAAAGAAACAAAATTGAAGAGATTTGTATGACAGATCCACTCATTCTGTTTGGTTCATGAAAAACTTTGACAATAAAAGAAATAAGAAAGACTTCTCAAGTTTCCGTAGGAAGCTGGCAGCACGTCTGTACAACAGCATAAAGAAAGTCTGTACAAAAAATGGAAACTACAATGAGTTAAATGCTAAGTCGTGAAAAGTTTGACAACAAGCAGGTATAGCACCAGATTTGGAACTTCTGTTTGACAATGACAAATAAGTTTCCTCAAACTTGGACAAAATAGTGAATACAATAGTGGATACTTATTCAGGTCAAAACTTCAGCTACATTACAGTCGAAGGAGTGATATAAAATTACAAGCACACAACTCATCAAACCTAACAGGACATTCCCAGAAGGTGCGCGGTTGCTAAAAGATCCAGATGATTGACTGTTGTTGAAATGCAATCATCGTCGCAAAACCACAGCCAAAATTTCCGATCCTCTCCCATTTGCCGTGGTTGAATGAGAAGAGAATACTTCGTAGCTCATTAAAATAATGACCAATGCGAGTAAAGCATAGTCGGAATATGAACCTGGACGCGTCCTTTCAATACCCAATCGCAGTTTACGAAACATTTTTTTGTGAACTGTTTAGTCAATTGTTGATTTCAATTGCGTAGGAAACAAATATCACTGGTTAAATATGACGTCACAGCACAGAGACCTAGAGCGTTTTCACCTCGAACTCTAGTTTCGTCTCGGGTCAGGAGAGTTCAACGTAAACAGCGAGAGTTTGAACGCGGGATTAAATCGAGTTCAACTCGCACACGATGCTGGGTTTGATAAAGTAAAGATGGCGTCACGCGGTAATGACCACATGTAAGTAATATTTTTTTTCTTATATTTTGAATCGGCAAAAAGATTTTGAAAAGTTTTAAATCGTAATACAGAACTTTGATATTATTATAATATTTTCAATGTGTTCAAAAATAATCGGCAACGTAATGTCGTCTCATACCCTGATATTTAGTTATAATGAACTGATGAATAGAGCTGTCGCATAGAAAACAATTAAAAAACAATTAAAAATGTTAATAAATAGGTTGAAAGTCAAAGGCGGATCCAGGGCCGGCGCGCCGGGTGTGCCCCCCGTTTGAATTTTGTGTATGTAGAACTTGTATGTCCATTATCCTAAAATCAAGGAAAAAACATCTCTTATTTGTAAGAATTTATCAGCTTCCAGGGGCCCACCAGGGCCTTGCCCTAGACCCACTGGGGGCTTCAATGCAGCCCCCAGACCCCCCATGCTTTCTACTCCGCCCCCCCCCCCCCGTTACAAAATTCCTGGATCCGCCACTGAAAATAATTTTTCTGTATTAAATGCATGAAGTTTTTTAGACCTGGGCAAGAAACATGTCAGTTCTGTAACTAATAAATTTAAAAGATCTTATTTTTATCCATTTTAGGGTACAAATACAGATAGATGGACAATACTGTCTGTTAGATGAGAGTCTGGCTACCATTTTTCTTTCAGAAGATGGCGGTATGTATACAATTTAAATTTTATTTCGTAAATATATATCTCAATCAGTAACAGACTTTATGCGTCTCAAGATGTCATTATGACTATTTGTACTGAAAGATTTTTTTACTCGTTGAAAATAGACATAAAATGATTTTGAAAAATCAATAATAAAAAGATCAATAAAATATTTTAACAGACTAAATTTCTTGAGTCAGTGGTAAACAAACTATAATTTGGTTTAGATTTTGTTTAAATAAAATTTTTTTTTTTTTAAATCAGTTTATTTTTTTTTTTTTCATATCAATAACATCATTTTCATACACAGATCCGGAGACATAAAGGGCCATTCGGGAGGCACTATCTAAAAAACCCACTTCCCTAGATGCATCAACAACTTCTGGGGTATCAACTTCCCCCCATGAATTTGAGATCAACCCTTCGGCTTCGTGCTCAGCTTCATCAGAATCTGCATCTGGGCCTTCTACACCCTCCGGTGTCTCAACTTCCAGTTCTGACTCACAGGTAGATTGGAATTTTGTAGAAAATCATTCCGAGAAAATCCTACCTGACAAAAATCTTGACTTTTTATTAATGTCTACTTGTGAGAGTACAAAGTGCTTTTCCTCACTTTTTACAAATTTATTCTCTAGATCTGAAAAAGATGTTGATCTAACATGTTCTGAAATCAGAGTATCCAATGAAATCAAATTAACCTTTCACGAGTTTCACAGTCTACTCACTGAAAAACTAACTTTACTTACAGAACACAATTCATGTGTGGAAGGAAAGTGAAGAACGATTTTTAATTGATTTAAGGCTTCAGAGGGAGGACAAATTTTCAGGCACAAAATCTCATGATATTCTTTGGGGAGAAATAGCAAGTGAAATGAAAACTAGAACTATCCAAAAAGGGACAAATACCCCCCGCTGGGTTTTTCAGAGAAAGTACCAAATCACTAATGTTTTCTAGATGTGAGAGGTGTTCACAATTTCCTTAAACATTTACAGTGAAAATTTAATTACTCATTATATATTTTTATACGTCCGTCTTACGACGGGACGTATTGTTATAGCGTTCAAGTTTGTCCGTCCGTTAGCTTTTTCATGTCTGGCTCATAACTTTAAAACTATTATGCCTAGAATTTTCAAACTTTGTCAGCTGATACATCTAAGGTAGAAGGTGTGTCGCACATTAAAACCATGTCGTTCTGACCTTTAATAAAGACGCTATGGCCAAATATGGAAAAATCATAACTAGAAAACCATTAGACTTAGAATCAAAAAACTATGTCTTTTAACTTTTAAATTACACAATCCCAAAAGATGTCAGAGTATTGCAGTATCTTTATTAAAAAAGTGTTAAATCAAGAAAATACTAGTCTTATTTTTTTCATTATGTTCTTTACAGCAATCTGTAACAACAAAAATTCCACCTCTCCCATGGGTGTAATGATCAGGCACTGGTCAAGGAAAATTTTGATAGCAGAAAATTGCATGTCAAATTAGAGAGAAATTAATGAGTTTAGTGTGAGGAGATAACTGGCAGAGCATCTCTGATCAAGCAGGTGTTATCTACATCTCTTGGGAATTGGACAAAAGGAATCAGTCTCTTAATTAATTGCTTTTGTTGTATTGAATTGTTCTTGTTGGCTAGTCTTACTTTCAAGATAAATTTGATGTAATTAAAACTAATTTGATATTGTATATAATAATTAAAACTTATATGATATTGTATAATATTATTTAAACTAATCATTTATTGTACATTTTTTATTTGAATTTTTATATCCTTACAACAAATTGCAGACTGCCTTGTCTCGCTAAGATGTCATTCAAACAATTGAATCTTAAACTGTTTATGATAATTTAACAATATTTGATGGGTGTATCATGCTGTGGTGGGGCACTTTATTAAATGAATGAAACTAAGGTGCAGCCTAATAAAACATCAACACTAATAATTACAGTGTTTTTTATTACATTGAAAAAATAGTTTGCAACTATCTGCCATCATTGTGAGACATGACACACAGCAAATTGATTGTTGAAAAAAAAATATCATAATTAATTATAGAAAATCAAATTGATTTTAATACCTTTATATCAAACTCATTTTAAAAATAAAAGGCTGGTTTTAGTAACTATGTATTTTGACAGACATAAATTACAATTAAGAGACTTAGACAACAGAGATCTTTATTTCTTTCTGCCCAATTCCCCTGAGATATAGATAAGACCTGCTTGATCAGAGATGCCCTAACAGCTTCCCACACTGAACTCATTAATTAATCTTTAACTGGATGCATGTCTACTCATTACTCCCAAGGGACAAATGGATTTACACTATCTGCTGTGTAATGTAAAAACTGTTTTTAATACTTTGTGTTTTTTAAGCTCTAATGAGTAGTTTTAAGCTGTAGTTCACATTTTTGTACAGATGTTCTAGATTCTATGTCTCAAACCTTAGACATGAACCCGAAATGACTAAGTCAATAAAAAAAAAACACCTGTAAAATGCAGAAAAATTATCAAATAATGTTGAAAATACCAGGTGCACATCTTCATATGGTAAATAATAAGTGTACAAATTTTCATACAAATCTATGCAATAGTCTCTGGGAACAGATCCAGACAAAACCACATAATAAAAATGAAAAAAACACCTGTAAAATGCAAAATAATTATCCAATCATAATGAAAATACCAGGTGCACACCTTCATATGGTGAATAATAAGTGTACAAATTTTCAGACAAATCCTTCCAACAGTTTCCAAGAAATGGTCCGGACAAAATCTCGTCTACAGACAGACGGACAGACAGACGGACATGCTGATTCCATTATACCCCCCCTAAACTTCGTTTTCGGGGGGTATAAAAACTGGTATACATGTTTCCAAAACACAACTGATCAATAAATGGAAGGCATTGAAAAAAAAATACAAGGAAATAAATGATGAAAATAACAAAACCGGCAATAAAA